ATAGTAAACACATGTCACCTGGACCTTGGACCTTATAGATCATACCCTCTGGCATATAGATCATACCCTCTGGCACCCCACATAGTGGAAGGGCGGACATCGAGACCGCAAGGTGTGTGTGTGGGACCTTATAGATCTTATAGGGGTATTCCATGGAGTCATGTTTGGCGCCGGGGGGGAGCAGGGGGTGCGCCCAAGAACGGTGCGCCCTAGGATCGGTCGACCGGAGGAAACCAATCGAAGCAAGGTCATAAGTCACATAGGAGGAGGTTCACCCAACCGGTGGAGACACGTTATTTCATATCTTGCCATCTGCATACAGAAAAAAACATCTATGAACTGCCCCCCCCCGGGTGATATATTCACCATAGCCCAACCATGCAGGCCCTTCAAGAACCGCCGCACCGGAGCACTCGCAAGAAAGCGGGTTTTCGCGGTGCTGGGCGCCACCGGAGTGTTTCGGTGCTGGGCGCCACGTCCGCCCCCTGGACCGACCCCCCTGCGCCCGACCCGCTCCACACCAGCGACCAGCACAGGTGTGGTCCTTCACCGCCGGGCCGCCCAGAGTGGACTCCTCCGCGACGACTGTGTTTGCATCGTTGGATCCCCGAAGGACCGGCTTCCCATCGGGTTTTTGGGCGAAGGCACAGAGATCGTGGGGGAAACGCTGTTGGAACTGGATTGTCGCCAAGCAAGTGGTGTGAAAAGTGAGTGCTAGTCATGACTATTTGATCTTGCTTGCTCCTGAAGGTTTTGCGCCCCTAATCCACCCCAAGCTTGCCAAGCCTGACACGTCCAGAAGTGCTACGTGGGTGTTGGTGCACACCCACAACGAGGCATTGGAAGCACTTCACACCGCACACATGGCACACATGGAGCACATGGAAGTGGAACATGTCCTGTTTGTACAGGCAAGTCAGACTTGGAAGAGGCCATGCATGGCTATCCACTTACACTATACAATTGCTTCGGGAGTAGCACTGGCACCCCAAGATGGCTTTTAGATGGGGGGCCATATCAACTTATCAAGCACCGACCTTCGGGATTCCACTGTCAACCCTCTATAATTATTTATATATTCCACCAGCTTTTGGTGCTTGTCTGCAGTGAGAAAGAGAACCACAAAGGGAAGGAGCCACTGGGACGGTGCTGGGCAGTTGATGGCCAATGTTCTGCCCGACTGGCTGCTGTTGGACCAGGCCCACAGAAAGAGCAGGTGGAGTCAGCACAGCATAGCACAGCTGCATGAAGAAATCTTTGATTCGGTGGTTCCAGAGCACCAGGATGGCACCATCTAGCCCAAAAGCTCCAGAGATGGTGCATCAAACAGACGGGAGAGAGAGAGAGAGTTCAACAGCAGCTGCCAAGGAGCTTAGACATGGTTCTTTTCAGTCTCAGCCGGAAGTCTACAAAACTTTGCATCATCATGTTTGTGTCGCCACCCTGCTGACATATACTGTAGATCGTCCTGCTAAAGTCCCATCTTGGTCAGGACGTGGGAAGGTATATATTTGATCCCCCCTACGCCTGAGTGCCTATGTACGCCAACCGGGCCTTTAAACACACCAAGCACCAAGCAGCAAGCCTTGAGACCAAGCAGCAAGCCTTGAGACCTGGCACTGGGGTGCAACTCGCTTGACCCCTAGAACCCTTGACTTGCGCGATGGGCCGCACCGCGGGCCGCACCGCGGGCCGCAGCAGCGCGCTCGATGCGGGCACGACGGTCTGTGGGCAATGCCGCCGGGCGGATGCTGGGACATGGCTGATCCCATCTCACGGACATTGCAATGCAGCCATGCTTTGCAACTCATTTGGAGCGGATGATGGGACATTCACTTTGAGCAGTGAGGAGGTTCATGCTTTTGTTTCAATCATGTTCTTCCCCACTGAACTGTGGGAAAACAACTTTTCGACCCACTGGTCATCAAGGACCCGCCTTCAGACTCTAGACCAACAAAGAATCTAATGGTCACAGAGTCACAGATGAGATCCTTTTTCTACTGTAGCTTGTTTTTTTAAGTGCCTGGACTGTGCATCTATTTCCGGCCGCAGAACCACGCGTGGTTTTCGGGTCGTGAGGGTATGTCCGACCAATGCGCGGTTTTGGCACCTGGGCGGTGTTTCTAATTGCACAAGTCATTTGACTCATTTTGGGTCAGATCATATCATCATAGGATCCAAAGAGTGAAAAGACTGTCCCTTCCGCCGGCGCCTGATTAAGAAGTGCTTAAGGATCATTCAGAATTCACCTAAAGAGCCAAAACCTCGAGACCTGACAAGCATCATCCAAACCTGACATGGACATCTCAAAGGTTCTGAGAAGCCATGGCAGCCACCTTTCACAACCTTGGGAAGTGCCTGTGTGTGAAACCCTTGGAATCACAGGGAATCCTTTGATTTTCGGCGGAGGGATCACGCACGAACTTGACTGGTGATCCAACGAAGAGGGTGAAGCTCCGGTGCTGATATCTGGCCTGATCAGCCAGACGTACCTGCAGTGATTGCCACTTACTTCCTCCTGGGCCCCTTTGTCACTAGAACAAGTCGTTGGCCATTGCATCGGTTTTTGAGCTCTGCAGTCATGCTTTTGTCGCTTTCGTTAAGCCTTTGAATTTTTGATGAGGTTTTGAAGGTGGTCAGACCACTTTACTCTTGATACTGTTAGGCGTTCATACCTAGGTGGGCGTGTGGCATGTGGCATTCCGTTCCGTACGCAATATCTCTCGAGTGTGTGTGTTTGGTGAACATCAATGAATGCATCATTGAATATAGGCTTCTAGTTGCAGTGTGCCCCCCTTAAACAGAAGACAATCACTTCCCCACTTCATTCAGGTGTTGCCGTTACCCCATTCATTCCCATGCGCCAGTGATCGATTTCGGATCTCCAGGCGACAGCTGCGTCGCAGATCTGTTTGAGTTCGGCCACTCGGTGTGGATCTCTACGCCGTAGGACCTTCATGTCAGGTGAAGACGAAGATCCAGAGGTATTAGAGTCCATTGGAGGCGGCAAGAGTTGAATTGAAAAGAAGGTATTGTATGACACATATATGATGTATATGTTTCCACGTCAACTTTCATGAGAGATGCTGACACAGGGCGGTACACATCTCAAAGACTACTTGCTTCAGGGCTGGGATGATGGGAGCTGCGCCCGGTTGCGCAGGTCTCTCATCCCACTTCGCTGGGGTCGGTCCGAACCGGGTTCACACGCTAGGGGTGCCCATTGGGTTTGTCCCACAACAGTCAGTAAACAAGAACATCACTATCTTTGAACCAGACCTTTACTAACCATCATCATGCACTGGCATTGGGATATGCACAAGGTGTCCAATTGAAACAGCATTGGGGATTCTGCCCTTACTAGACGGCCGCCTTGCGTGGAGAAACTGGTTTGCCGAGGGCGGACTTCAGCAGCTAGAGAGCTGAAATCGTAAGATGCCGTTCTCATCCATTTGTAAGACACCGAGCACAAGTCGCACTGTTTGTCATGCGGAGGTTTTGACCACCCAGTGGACCGGAGACGGGCGCTTCAGCAGATTTCCGGCAAAAAAAAATGTCATGAGATGAAACCTGAGCCTTAGATGAAACCTTCATCTCACGTTTTCTTCAAAAAAGACGGCGGAAAAACCGCGCCAACGATCGCTCCAAGATGTTTTTCCGGCCCCAACACATCGATCGCAGGCATTTCTCTCAGGCGAACTCGATGGGTTGGGTGCTTCCTTGCCATGTGTGATAGATGGCCCAGAAGGCTGCGATTCACTGGAGGATCCTCACTCCTCAAGCAAAGCAACACTGTTAAATCAAAGACCTCATTTTGACTGCAATGGATCATACAGTTGATATCATCAGTTGATCATGCCGATAGAAAACCTGCTACTCGTTTTCGGGACCAGGTTTTACTGGGCCTGTTTGGACCTGTAGGGCACAACCATAATCACTTCACTTTGAAGTGGGCAGAAGTTCACCTCCAAATGCTGGTCCGATGCGATCCGCGGGCGCCTCATGGGCGGTCCCAAGTTCTGACGTTGGAGGACTGATGCCAGGCTTTGGGAGGGACATCCTTTAACAAAGGAACGCACCAATTTCCGGTAATCCTGGGTAACTACTGCGTTCTGCGGGAGAAGAGTAGGACACTGGTGTGCAGAAACACATTTCGAAGACATCCGTGTAGAGTGTAGAATTGATTGTGATGTACAGGATGCTATTGCGTCCGCGTAGGCCAGAGAAGTGCGACAGGAATCCATCCGCCAACCAAACCCTCCACCAATCGGAGTCTGAGTTCGATTGTGCTTTGAGGATTTTTGGAGCTGGGCAAAAGCCACATGATCACCGCATCTGCAGGTTTTGCGGAACTCCGTGCGGAACTCTGGGCGGATTGGACTGGTCAATTTCCCGGTCCGCGAATGGACCATTTCAAGGACCTCACACAATGACCTGTCCACCGCACCCTTAAGTGACCGACACCCACGCGCGCGAGGAAGTTCCATGCAGAGCAGGCGACCGCTCCGAGCTGTTGGCTGATTTGGGAAAGGTGCTCCCCAACGAAATGCACCTTACAGAATCAATAGCAGATCTAGGGTGAGAGACCATCCAAAACCGGGGTTCAGGAATGTAATGGAATATACATTGCCTTCATGTTCAATACGCACCTGAATGTTGTATACAGTGTTTGACTCTTGTACTGCGGGGTGCTTGCACAAACCTTCAACTTGTGTGGAGTGACTTAATAATCCAAATCTACAGGGCCAGGCCAGGTGTTGTTTAATGCCAAAGTCCTTCCTCCAAGCCCACCCTGCACATGATACCATATGATACCACTCCAACCAATTGATCAACGGCTAGATGGTCCGCCATTTAGGACCCACCTTCACCCACCGGCTCCCATCGAAAGAGACGATTAACCATTCCATACCATTCCGTTGCCGTTCCCGTCCGTTGCCGTTGCCGTGGTTGGCTTCGAGGGGTTTCCGCCATCTCGCTGTCCGTCTTCGCCACCTGCCATGGCGCCACATGTGCCACATGTGCCAGTGGCCACCGACGAGGAGGACTGCCGTGAGGACCACGGTGGCTGCGAGGACAGTACGGGCCTCACTGGAGCAAGGACAATCACCAGTCGTGCATGCAGAGTGTGCAAAGTGTCCTGCCTGGTGCTTGGGCTGCTGGTGGTGGCGATGCTGATGCTTACCTGAGATTGAGGTGGGGTCAACGTTGGGTTTATTTGTGTTGCATTCTATAGGAGCTTACAAGTACGCATCACAAGGCTAGATGAATGTTGCGGACCACAGGGTACTAGTCATACTAGTAGATGATGATAGATGCTTGGCAAGGATTTTGAAGGTTCATGCTGCCAGTGAGAAGAATCTTCAACGGTGACGGGTCGGCGCCAGATGTCGCAAAGGGAATTGGCCTAAAAGGCTTTGACCAATGGAACTTGTTTGATAGTTTGTTGATGTCCTTCCGGTTCAATTCACTAAATTCCCTCAGGCTGCACGCTACAGTGTTGGAGCAGAACCAGGATGCCTCCAAACAGATCCCCTTCCACTGGGCACACAGAACTTGTACTCGTAGGGTGAAAACGGGTGTCGATGTCGGCTTGAGGGAGGGTACGCAAGAAATGAATCACTTGTTTGGCGGTTCCACCTGTGAAGACGCTCACCTGTTGCCCGACCACTCCCTGGACGGCTCCCGGCCGCCGGGTGCTACGAAGATCTGAGGATTTTGTTGGGCACCAGTGGACCACAGAGCTCTGGGCTCAAGGCGTGGCTTTGCCCATCAGGTGGAAAGCCAGCACCCAGGGCCCCAGGGCCGGGCCGCTGCCAGATGTTCGCTTTGAAAGAGGAAAGAAGCTGACAGGTCATGTCAGGGCCTGTTGTGGCATGCATCCCCGCACTCAAAGTTGGATCGTACGAAGCCATTTCTCGATCTATGATGATCTATGGCCTGTGGGTACCACAGGTCATTGGTTTTCATAAGACGCACCAATCAGAAAGCGTTCCACACATGTCCCCTGAAAGCAACACACACAGGGCCGTGCCCCGTCATGGTAAGCTGCTACTCTTGGACCAGACTTGGGAACTCTTGACTTGCTTCCGAGGATTTATCAGTTTATCATTTCCTTTGTCACGTATGTGTCTCCATGGGGGGAGTGCAGTGTGCAGCCCAAAAAGGCTTGATTTTTTTCATGTTGCAAGCTAGTTAGCTAGCGGCCAATGGACCAGTGGCCTGCCGAACCTAGATCAGTCCCTGAAAGCCTGAAGTAGGTCCATCACCGCCCGATCCAGACCATCTGGATCGATGGAACTACTGACATTCAGTTTAAAAACTTCAATGTTTGAGGCCTTTGGGCCTTTCTTCCAGGCCTGGATCGTCAAAGCCTCCTCGGATCTCTCGCTGGCCGCCGAGAGCCTCTCTCCGCCGGTCCCGGAGTTGGGCTCCACGGCCACCGCAGCACTGGAGCGCCGAGGGACGGCGACCGGGTTGTGCCGGAACGGGAGACCTGGCTGGAAGAGACCGCACAAAGTGCGGTTCTGGGGGAAGAGCAGTGGGAAATAGGAAGACGGATGGGGGAACGGAAAAGGTGGGATGGGAGACCATGGAAGACCATGGAAGACCATGGATCGTGGTTTTCGGCGCAGTCTTGGGCATGGAGGGTTTCAGGAGTCTTTCTTTGTTTCGGGCGCGTGCCACGTCTGGTCCTCCCGTGCTTTTCCAGAGTTCACCTGATTTCGCCTGGCCTTTTCGACCAATGTGACCAGACGGTTGGGCAGACGTGCGGGTTTGTGAAAGAGTTGGCGCATTCCGTCGATGATTGCATGTTGTTCTTACTCTAGCGATCTCCAGCGTGGCCTCAGGTCGGCCCTGAGCTTCCACAGCACCAAAGATCGAACTGAAGATCAGAATCGATGTGGTTCCACGTTGTTCAAAAGGAGTCAGCTTCGCCCAATCCCTGTTTTCGGCAACCAAATGGTTCGCGGTTCTCTCGATCGATATCTTGGATCTGAAGCCGAAGCCAATCTCAGCAGCTTCGTTCTTGGCCGCTTTTTGCGAACCTGAGGAAGTTCAAAAATGCTCCCCGCATCCGAAAGGAGTCCCTTGGAAGGTCGCAGTTGGCGTGTGGGGTGGGCGTGACAGGGGCAGGTGAGATTCCAGGGGAGTGCCGTATATAGTTGCAGGGTGATAGCAGGTGGCAACAGTTGAGTTCCAGGCAGATGCTTGCAGTTCCAGGCAGATGCTTGCAGTCTCCACACTAAGCTAGGTGATGGTTTCGGATATTTTTACTTTCCACCCTTACTTGGGGATGAAGAAGGACCTCTGAGTCTGACTCATATTTTTCTTTCGTGGGTTGAAAACACCAACCAGTAAGCAATTTGATAGTATCAGCTTGATGAATGAACTGTAGATCCCTCTCAGTTTCCATGGAACACATCATACGTTTTTCCATTTGTTCACATCATTAGTGGGGAAACCAATCCTGATGATCAGCTGTTAAGATCTATTGGACATCCTTTTCAGATAGTTCACTTCATTGTCGCATCCTGAGGTGGCGTGAGTTGACCAAGAGGGAACTCCGCGCCGTGCAGAACGCCTTTTGGCGGCTCAAGGGCTTCAGCCGCAGGAAGAGTGGCGGCAACGCGGCGGGCTACGCGCCGGATTCGAACTGGGACACCACGGAGAAGGGCATTGCGAAGTGCAAGGAACTCAATCAAGGAGTTCGTAAGAGGGATCAGACACTTGCCGCACTTGCCTGTTGGCCAGTCTATATAATTGGCTATGGCTCAGAATGCTGCAGGTCTTGGTGTAGCCCGTTCACACATCCTTTTACCATGCAACAATCAACTGGAGTATCGAGTGTTTGTATCTATTTCTTCCCTAGCCAGGCCAGCCAGGCCTGCTTGAGATTGACATGCTTGAAGCTCCAGCTTGGTTCTGGAAAATAGACCAGGCTGGAAGACGAGCTGCCCTCCAATAAACCAGCAGTTTTCAAGTGACGCTCAGTTTGCGCCCAAACTCAGTCAGTCTTGTGAAGAAGTATCCTCCCCCCCTAAGAATCCGGGCCCTCAAACACTAGGGTTTTGAGGGTCCAGACCCCTGCTATGGAGGGTCCGACCCCTGCCATGGAGAGCCCAAGGATTCTTAGGATCAAATGAGGATTTGCGGGCCGGGCTGCTTGTGTTTCCCTGTCCTTTGTGTGGTGCGGCCTGGGTCAAGCACGATCTCCTTCCAATATTTGCCGATGCTGTTGCCAACATTTGTTGATTTGTCGGTTTCTGCCTGCTGGGCTGCTGGAACTGCTTTGTGTAACCCTGCTTTGTGTAACATAGGTATAGCTGTTCACGTCCAAATGCAGATGTCGCCCAAATCTCCTGAAAAGGCCGGGCAGTAGGGCACGCGCGTACACACCAGACAAAAAGGAACCCCTACTGCGAGTACTTCACCAACTATGATGAGATGGCAGCTTTGCATGCTTGCTCCGTGAAGGATCCACGATGTGATCAAGGCCACACTGGGCCGCACTTCATGAACTTTCATCGAAGCTTCGTTTGAAACAGCATCTAATCTGTCCCGGCGGTCGGCTCTCGGGTCAACGCGGGTTGGAGAAACATCATGAAACCACAAGTCTTGTTGAATCAGGCACCTCTTGGGTTCAATCATGGTTCGATCATGTTCGATCTATATAATCCTCCATGATCCAGAACCCCTCTTCTTCCCATGATGGTTGAGTGCCCGACATACATTGACATCCTGGACCTCAATCCAAGCCTGGCTTGATTGATTCCAGACCTATCTCCCTCCCTCCCTGGAGCCTATCCCCAAATCTTCATCCGTCACCCGTTGCTTTTCCATCAGCATTGCACCCCAAAAAATTGTGACATCATGCAAGACCTGAGACACAGTTTATACTGTGAGGATCCTGTAGGTGACGCACGAAATCCCACAAAATCCCCCTCCCCAACGTGTCTTTTTGAGCTTTTTTGGTTGTCCATCTTCGTCCCATCTTCGTCTCGATCCCAGAATTGTCAGGAATGGTGATCCTGAAGATGGAGCTGGCCCTCATGGCGGCCGACACGAACCGCCCCATCCAGGTCACGGCCATTCCCTACTGGGATCAATCCTTAGACTCCGAGGATCCCATCGGCAGGCGCGGTGAATGGAGGGGGGTGAGGGTCGGGGGGTGAAGAAAGAATAAGAAAGAGAATGCCATGACAAAGAGTTGGGTCATGTTGGGCCCAAGATGTTCTGATGGATGGAATGGTTGATTTAAAAGACAACCATTATAATTCATTATATGTTTTTTGTTAAATTCCTTTTTGGATTTGGATGGATTTGGATCGATTGCTTTTTGGCAGTTGTTTTGCTTCATGTAGAGCAGCTTTTAGCTTAGCTTGATGGTGTTTGTGCGTCGGGTGTTGCATACATTTACGTGTACCGTGTCCAACTTGTTGCAGAACTCCCCATATATATTGCTTCCACATGAAACGGTCCGGCTTCAAGCTCGAACCTTCCCCGGTCGTTCTACGAACTACCGCGCCAGGTACCGCAACGCCCCAGACAAGTACATCTTCAGCGAGAACTACTTTGGAGACTTTTGGGGCAAACCGGAGAACGACTATGCCGTGGTCAACGGCCTCTTTGCCGAGTGGCCCGTGGCCATTTGGACCGAAGAAAGGCGGCACTGGTCGCCGACGTGCGTGAAGTGGTATGTGCAGGGCTTGCCTGGCAGGTGGTGGGAATTGGAAGACTACCAGGGCCCCAACTGGAGGGCTCCTATACGGGGTCTCTATCAATAAAATCATATAACATCTATTTTACTGTAGCTTAGAGGTTCGGGGGGGTGTTCATTCACCACCCTGGGCCTGGCGCAAGTCTATAGCGTCTAGAGGTCTGCTTGGGGGCCTCGTGTCACTCGTATCATCTCGTATCGAAAGCTTACGACTGGCCCTTCCGGGCCGCAGTGTTTTTCAGAGCGACTCAGAGATCTCAGAGGTTCTCTCGAGTCAAAAAGTGTATCAGGACCTACCAGCACCCGACTCTACAGGTCTCCGAAATGAAGGGTTGCTAGGCCCTATATAAGAGGTCTCAATTGGTGACCTGTTGGAGGGTGCTGGTAGCATCGTATTCTGCCTTCTTCTAAACTTATATGTAGCTATCATAATCTATCATAAGAGAGTCGTGGGTCATGTGCAGTGTCAGACACGCCGTGCAACTTCCTACAGCGACTCGGATCGGATCATCTTCGGATTACACCAGGACTCACCCGGGTGTGACGGTGTGACCCCGAGAGACCCCCAGAACAGGTGCTTGGGCCGGTGGAACATCAACCTCTCCCACCAGAACAGGTGCTTTTTGGTCCGGCAAACCGCCCGCTTGGTACCACCACAACACCGCGCGGACCAACACCGCGGACCCCCCAAATGAAGGGGCATCCGTTCTTCGGGGAACCCACGGCTCACGACACGGATGCCCTTCGGAACGCCCGGATGCTCTTCGCCGGGTCGAACCGGCAGGTTTGGATCGAAGAGCAAGTTGGCGAACCAGAGCAAGTGCATCGCTTCTGTGCCTCGGCCGACACGGGCTGGTGAAGAGGGGTGAAGGGTGGAGGAGAGATCCCCATGGTATTTGCAGGCCACCTTTGGAGATGAAAGAGCGAAGTGCTTTGGGAGGGTCTTTTCACGAAAGGTAGCTTCAGCTGAGGGTAAAACCCCCCCATATAAGAAATTCGTATTCGCATGTCCGTTTTTCTGGAAGCATGCCCAATCCACTAAAACGATAAGGAAGAAGAAAGAACGATAACCCCTGATGACTCTTGTGGAAAACCCTTGACATGCGAGAAGTGGTGTGAAGAAAACGCGTGCACACACACAAACAGAAAACCTACGTACTACTACTGTTCCAAATTAATCAGAGTCAATGCATGACTGCTCTTGGTGGGTATGTGCTTGGACAGAGGTGGGAGGGCTTGGACCGCAGTAGCCTTGTGTTACAGCATTGTTGTGCCACATGGTTTTCCACCTTGCACCAGGCATGAACACGATAACAAAACGATAACAAAAACGATAACACAGCAAGCCCAAAACACCTTTCCGTAGGCAGGCCACCACATGGGTGTAGTTGGAATGAAGTGTACCTAATGTCTTCATCCCTGCAAGGTTCCACACACACACACATGCATGTAGTGCACACACTATATTATACTAAATTTGTTGCAGTTAGTCAACGTGCTGTAAAACGATAAGGAGAAGAAACGATAGCGTCAAAAGTGGTATAGGGAAAGGTAGAGGGGTTCTTACACACAACCTCAGCTAGCTTTAGCTACAGGGCAGGATCCTCACACGCCATGACTGTGGGCTCGTGAAAGGCGATTCTGTATGACGGGGAGGGGTCACCCCCCCCACACACCCTGTGGATCAACTCCACCCGGGGACGGGTGAATTTTCCTTCAATTGTACTGGTACAGTGGCTTCGTGTGATTGGATTTGTATCGAGCTTCTCCTCCCTCCTCGTCGTTTGGCTACTGCTGCTGCTGCTGCTGCTTTGGTGTGATTGGATTCGTATGGAGCTTCGCCTCCGTCCCCGTTATTTTGCTTCCTTTCTACATGGCGATGCAGCTTTGCCGTGATTGGATTCGTGTTGAGGCTGCTGCTGCTGCTTCAATCCCACAGATCTCTCTCTCTCTCTCTCTTTTTTTCCTCTCTCTCTCTCGCTCTCTCCCTGTCTTCTCTCTCTTCTCTCACCTCTTTTAAAGAGTTTGAAAGTTGAACTTAGTGACCTACCTTTCGTTCACCCCCTCCCACCTTCAAGTCAGCACGAAGCCTGCCTTGTCAGTGTGGCAGTTGTCCGTTTCCCGGTTCGGACCACCAGCAAGTTCGGTTCCCGTTTTGACCCATCCCTACAAGATCCTACAAGTCAGTTTGACCTCATGAAATACTGGAGATGGTCATGCAAAACCAATACTTTAGGTGGTAAAAGACCAAGTTTTACCGGGTCTTTGGACTTGTGTGGCATCTCGAGGAGTTCTTTAAGGGCACTGTGGCTACTGCTGATGACTGTGGCGACGGCTACACCGCCACCCGCTGGTTTCGCGACCACGTGGAGTGCTCGGAGTACGTGGCACGCCAGCCAAACGACCCCAATGGGCCCCAAGCCTATGGACCACTGGGCGGCCATTATGGAGCCCGAGCTGCACCAGAGAGAGAGAGGGAGGAAGGGAGAGGGAGAGGGAGAGTCAAGTTAATGTAGAAATTGTAGACTCTTGATTCACCCCGCCATATGATGAGGTTTTACACTCCAAATGGAGTGGTTTTAATCCAAATGACTGGCTTCTTTTGACAAGGCCCACATCCCTTGTCCAAGGCCATGTGGGTTTGTTTCAGCATGGGTTTCTGTGAGTGTTGGGGTGTTTCTCATCCCCGATTGGCGGTCGGTTTTTAATGGTAGGACCCAGACACTCCATGGGACTGCCATATATACCTACATTGACCCCTCAGACCACCACAACTGATCAGTAAATATGACAGTCCATTAGTCACCTTTGGGGGAGCTTTAGCGCCCTGAACAAGGTGAACATATATGAATCCCAGTGTTTTTCCGCGCGAGGCATCGTGTATTCCAAAGAGGAATTCGAGGCTTGCTCCACCTATCCGGAGAACGTCCGGACCTGGATGCAGTGGAATACCTGTCAGGACTGGACGTGGACGGAGTCGGTGGTAGCTCGGTGCCGACTGTAGTGGTGGGTATAGCCAGGCATGGAGTTGGAGAAATGGGGAGCCCAAATGGACTGGAATTGGGGGTGTCCAACATGAACAACCCCAGAACCATCATAATGTCGACTCTTGAGGACCATACACCGCCCTTTTTGAAGAGGATGTTCAATTCAAATGGCCGGGGTTATGAATCAAGAGTCTACATTAAGGTGTCAATCGCCGTTGCCTTGACGATGCCTTATAGTGACGGTTTGTTCAGGCGGGTCGCAACTTCCAACTCCACTGTGACTTCCAACTCGGCCGATTCTCCACGGGAGACCGGGAGACCTCTCAAAGACCACCTGGAAGAAGAAGAGTAAACCAAAACCCATTCCCAGACACGACTGACTAGCATGGGACTGTCATATTTACATCATATGTACCTAATACAATGGGGTGGGGGTTTGAGAGGTGATTGGAGCGGCATCTACCGCAGCCTCCATACATGGAGTGTTTGGGATGATGGCTGCGACGCACCGCACCGACGTCGCGACCGGACGTCCGGTCCGGTGACCGACTGACCATGCGGAGGTGGTTCCAGAACCAGAGCCAACAGAACCAGAAAAACTCAGGTGGTTCCAATAGGATGATCCTTTACATAGGAAATGGGGACTGGGGAACCATCCATTTCTATCCGTCTCTTTCTGGTTGGGGCTGGGTTTCCAGGTGCGTGGGTATATTGAAATAGGGAGACCTCCCAGCGGCTCCTGCAGGCTTTGCCTTCAAACTTGGAACCCTGGAGCATTAGCTTCGATTGTGGTATATCAACTTCAAAAAAACACTTTGCTCAAAGGCCGCTATAGTTTATGGTTCAATGCCTCATGTTCCCTTTACAAGTCCCTCTCCTTTCCAGCTTGGCCCAGGTCGCAGTTCTGCACCGGGCTTCTCCCTCCAACGCCTCCCTCCGCACGCGAGGACCCGGGGCTCTTCTTCTGCGACGTGCCCCGTGATGAGCTGCTGCTCCTCCCTGTGCGGGATCAGCTCCGCGATGCGCCTCGGTGTTCTTGACATGGGTCAAGGATGGTTAAAGAAACAGATAAATCATCCCGGCAAGAGACCCCAAACAGTGTGTGTGAGGTCTAGAGGTGTAGCAGTAGAAAGTCTAGAGATCTAGACGCGAAAACATGCAAAAACCCAAGGGTCCAAGAGATTCCAAGAGGAAGTAGGGGATCTATCTAGGTGGGGGGTTCATCGTGACGGTCCAGACATATTTTTTGAGCTGCCTTTTTGGGGGTCTCCTCCACCAAAGGAGACCTTTCAAGAAAGGGAGAAAGGTTCAACCAGCACCCTAACCAGGACCCCCACTGCTTTTTGGACCCGACCACAGGTGTTTTCTTTTTTTCCGCGGCACCTCTTGGAGGGTCCCACCCTACTCCAACAGACCGAGTCCATTGCTGCATGCATCCGCATGACGCGAGGCAATTGTCCCAGCATTGAAGGACAGGGTGACCAAATCCATCAAGGACCGCCTGAGCGCTCCCAGCGCCTCCAAGCACCGATTCGTGTGGGTCACTGGCGCCGTTCGTTTGACAGGTTCCTTCCCAGTCTCGGTTTCTGGCCGTGTGTATCGAATCCAGCTCGAAATGTTGGGCGGTTGATGGCTGGAAGTCCACGATCATGTTCAAAGTTGAACATGATTTTGGTTTTGGTTTGATACTTCGATTTTTTCTAAATGCACTGGTTGTCCGGGATTCAGACTCTTCAATCAGGCCAGGAAGCCGGATGGGCCACTGGGGAGATGTTCACCCTCTCCTTGAGAGCCGTTGGGTCGGCCGGCGGAAGTCGGACGCGGGAGAGAGCCGCAAACGATGAGTCGGACTGGGCATGCGAAACGATGATAGACTTTGCTGTTTGGTCCATATGTTTTTGCTTCGGACCTTTGAAAAATCCTGAAAAGGTAGACCTGCAGCCCTCCAATTGATGACATTGATGGGAAGATACCAACAGCAGCAGCTCCATGTGGGTTTCAGCTTCACGTGTTTCGTCCCATGGACCGCCGGTCCCGTGGCGTTCGGTCCGACCGTGGTCTCTGCCGACACCGCCACGAGGAGATCGAAAAGGCCTTGAAGGGCGGTGACACTCCGTCGATGCCCATCGAAGACCCCGTGGAGACGGGCAAGCTGCTGGAGCGGGGGGGGGTTGGTCGAACGGGAAGAGGATCGGAGTGGGAAGGACTCCAGCTTGCTGGGGGTGCTAGTTTTGCTGTTGATGTGTTGTTGCCGTGTGGTTGTGGCTGACTGTGGCTGTTGTTGCTGTTGTTGCATGCTGCTGTTTTTTGGGGGGGTCAGGTTTAAGACGATTTTTTGCACATCAAGACGAAACTTCCATATGGTGCCGGCTTGTGCCGCTTCCGGACGCGGGCGGTCGCTTCCCGGTCGCTTCCACCGAAGACCGGTCCGACCGGTCCTTAGCGGGTCGCGACCGCGCAGCGTCCGGTCGGTCGCGAACACGCGGACCTACCGGGACTCTATCCAATGGGCTCCCAACATGGGCCGTGGTTCAGAAGATGGACCACAGATTCAGGGGGTTCATATTTCATTTATAAATAGATATATAATTATATATATATATATATACATACACACATAATTAGCGACTTTGAGCTCATTGTTGACTTGTATGAAGCACGCCAGATCTGTGTTTGTCATAGATTTTCTAACGTCGTGACAGGAACTTCTGCAGGACAAAGCTTATTTGGCAGGTACAGCTTGGTAAGATCAACTTTTGCTAGCAGATTTGCTCGAAAAACACCTCTTCTCACATTCACATACTTCCTGACCCCTTCAAAAAGTATGTCAAATACGTACGTTCTTCCAATCGGATGTGTCTTCATCGTCCTGACAACGAAAAAAAAGCGTTCTCCCCAGAAGCGGCTGACGGTGGCGAACGCCTTGGCTGCTTTGCTTTGGACTTTGAGCACGAAGCTTGGCGTGCACCGTGTTTGGCCTAGCTGCGACCTTTGGGGCAGCAATGCGTGGATCAAGGTCCACACCTGGACCTTCCAAGGGGCATCCAATGGCGATCCAGCTATCTACTGTAATCTAATCTAATCTAATCTAGTCACGAAAGCTAGCGAAGCTAGCTGGAGTTACTCTTGCGATAGCAAGGTTTCTTTCGACCGGGTGCAAGTCCTAACCCCTGATTTTTCAGGTCGAAGACCCCCCCCCTCCCCACCCCACCTCCCCTCTCCTCCTCCTTGTCTTCCTCCCACTTCCTCCCACCTTCCCTCCCTCCCTCCCTCCCTCCTCCCTCTTCGTAAGTTCGACTCCGTCCTGTCGTCGCTCTTTGGCATGCGGTTAGCGTTGCGTATCTTGCGGCCGCACTCGCTCACTCTCACTCTCACTGTCTCACTGTCTCACTGTCTCACTGTCTCACTGTCTCACTGTCTCTCTCTCTCTCTCATCTCTCTCATCTCTCTCATCTCTCTCATCTCTCTCCTCTCTCATCTCTCTCATCTCTTTCTCATCTCTCTCATCTCTCTCTCCTCTCTCTCTCTCTCCTCTCTGTCTCTCGTCTTTCCGTCTCTCTTCTCTCTCTTCTCTCGCAGGAGGATCCGGGCAAAGAGCCACATATATATTAAAGGACTCTTCACCCCTGCCTCCAAAAAGAGCGCCGTGTTTTTTCCTACCTCGCTGCCCTCCACTTTCCCATTCTGGAGCGCTAGCTTTCGCCCCCCCCCTTGGCCTCAAGTCTTATTTTATCTTATTTTAATCTAAATCTAGTCTAATCTAAATCAAATCTAATCTAATCTAATCTAATCTATCTATCTATCTATCTTTCAGCACGTGGTGGCAGTGCAGCCCTCCAGCTGCTGATTTCAGGGCTTCCAGCAGGTTGGTGCTAGGCCATTGCCCAGCTCCATCGGGCTGAATTTTTGGGCGGTAAGTTTTTTTTCTCACCGTTCACCCACCAGACCAATGGCCAAGCAGCTCAGGAATTTGGAGGCCAGTGCCGATACTCAAGCTCTTTTGCAGGGCATCGCCAATATTTGTGATGAAGCTGGGCCTGCTAAGTCTGGTTTCTGGGGTGAGTGGGACGGTGAGAGGCTTCCCATGTCCAATCAATCTACGGTGAGCCCACACGGTGGTCGGACAAGATGCGGATTTCAGGCAGTCGGGGTGTGTCTTCACCGGGTTGCAGCTAGCTGGATGCTTTGTCTTCAATCTCAAAAAAAGGAGCAGTCAAGGGATTGCTGAACTTATATTTGTGACCGTAGTGACCCCAAAGGAGCCAGACACAGTGACCAGTGTTGCCTGCCAGGGAGAAAGAGAGAGAGAGAGAGAGAGAGACAAAAAACAACCTTGGAAAGGTATCATTTTCCATCATCAATGGGCAAGAAACCTCAGATAAGATGGCTTCAGGCTTCCGGAGTCCGAACATGCATCATATTTATGTCTCTCGCTTTTCCCCTGGCGCACACCATAAAACACCAGCGACACCAAGCTCTTGGCCAGCACCAGCTGGCCGCTGACAGCACCGCCACGGCAGCAGCAGCACCACTACGGCAACAGCAACAACAAAAACGAAAAATAGGTACAAGGAAAAACCTGGAGCCCTGTCAGGAGACGTATTTCTTGTCCCTGCAGCAAAGATTTACCATGGGATTGCCGATTGCCCCAACAAGGGCACTTGTGAGCACTAATTACCGCCAGCAGTAGTGGGCAACAGCCTAAGAGCAGTAGTCGCAGTAGCAGCAGGTCAGTAGTGGACCAATGCTCCCTACACACCTTTTTCGGCCAATGGTTGCACAGCAGGAAAAACGATGAACAGCGACGCAGCCATACGCAGACCCTTTTCAGCGAGCTTGTCCCAGGATCCCATGGTCTATGGATACTTCACGAAGTTGAACGAGGAGCGATCCTTCCCACGGATGCAGCATGGGCAAGCTCACTTCAAAGCCGGCAGGCCAGGGTTGGGGTTTGGGTGCCCCGGTCCGACATGCTTAGTATAAAAGCACCAACAGAAGAGCCATCCCTTTCACTGGGTGTGTCCCAGCAAGCTATGTTTTCAGAAAGGTCTTTTATTCCAGGAGTCACATGTCGGGGTGGTGTTTAGTCCCATCCAGTGAGTGGAGCATAGACCCCCCGACTACCCCCGTATTGTGACTGCTGGTTAACCATCATCATCATCGTTAACGAGGTATGCCCAAATCCCTGATGTCTTTGCTGTTCAGATGTGGCTTTTCCTGTGCGCCCGGCCAGGGATTTCCTGGATGTCACCACTTCAGCCAATGACTGTGGACAGTTTACACAGCATGCGGATGAAGATCGCAGCAACATGCGCTTCATGTTGTTGAGCCTCCGGAAGAACTACCGCTTGGAGGCACCCAATTGGATCGGGCAGAGCTTGTAGAGCTTGTAGAGCTTCACAAACATGGTGCAAAGGGGATGTTTAGGAAAGTAGGAGCTCAGGAACTGCAGGTGTGGAAGCTGAGATGAGGAGGGAAGGGCTCTAGGTCTTCGGACCCAATATGGGCCATCTGTATGTTGCAGTTGCACCCTTTCAGTGATTGTGACCCGTCAACCCATATACAAAACAGCCCTTCCAGCATGGTCACTCCATGTTCCTCTAAGCATCCGCACGCCAAAAAAACAGGTGCCTTTTTGGGTTCTTTCCTCGCTGTCAGGAGAACTGGTGGGACTATCCTCGCACGCAGTTCGACGTGCTTTCCAACGGCAAGCCGCCCTATGGCCTGTCCGGCCCCTTTACCACGGCGGGCAGCCTGGCATGGAGTGAGGGTCAAGTTGCAGTGGTGGAGGATGGTGGAGGTTCTATGGGACAGGAGGGTGCAATTTTTGTTTGTTTAATTCTTGGTTCATCCCTTTATTGCTTTGGAAGACTGCTCTGCCGAATCAAAGAATGAACCAGGTGGAAAAAAAGGGCGTCCTTCCTGCAGAGCTTCCTTCTTAGCAAGTAGCAGTGGAGGACAACCAGGCACCCCATTGGCCCACATGCTAGATTGATGTGCTTAATTGCTCTTTGATGCATGTGGAGCACCTCCACCAAGCACTCATTTGGGAAGGCGCCAGGTGATCTGAGAAGAAGCTGATCCATCTCAGCAGTCTTCGCATCGACCCACCGGTGGGTCTGCTGAGGTCTGCTGGCGTGCCAGACCGATTTTGATACCTTCCCCTTCTACCGTTGGTTAGCCGGCGCATGGACTCCGGGCACACTGCTTCGAGATGCCTTTTGGCCGGGGCAAGACGGAGCAAACAAAACATGTCGACGTTGACGTGTCTTTTGGTCATTTTTGGTCCCCAACACGCCTTTCGGACATGTTGCTGCAACAGACTGACCAAATTTGATGTCAGGTGCTGTCAGGTGCATGCCTTTTTGTTTTCTTTGGTGGTTAGGTGACCCAGTAGATGAGCTTATACTCACCTTCGACTGCCTGATTGATTGCTGTGCAGGAGGCTGGCTTGTGGGGAGTACACCAGCCGAATGCTTCAACAGAAACTACAAATATCCGCGGATGTTCCCTGTGATGTGATCCACTTTCTGTGATCCACTCAGGTGGTGAACTCGGGCTTTCCCTTCATCGACCTCTTCAACAGCTCATGCCCTGAGGATGAGGATTGCAGTGGTCGACAGAACGGCGGCTACACGAACCAGGACGTGAAGTCTCACTGATTTGGCTCACAATGGCTGACAAAAAAACACTATAAACACCACTGAAGCGATCTGAAGCAGTCTCTCTTTGGCCCGCTGTTCAAGAACCTGCCAAGAATTGGCTTGGCGTGATTACCACGGGAACCATGAACAGTCCGAGTTTTGTCTTCGCTTTGATGAAGGTCGAGGATGGAGGTGCAAACCTCAAGAAGGGACTGAGCACACCTCAAGGGACTGGGCAAACCTCAAGGGACTGGGCAAACCTCAAGG